GCTGGGTTATTTTTTTCATTATCATAAATTTGCCTAAAAATCCATTTTCAGGATATAGAAACTTTTTTCAAATGTCAGTAATAAATGGGGGCAAGAAATTGAAAGAGTCAAAGCAGTTTGTTCTGTTCAGTTCAAAATGAAACATTCTGAGTTTTCATTTCTACTAGTTTCTTTTTGACCACTTGGAAATGAAACACTTATAAGGCTGTGTCTACACTGGGCCACTTATTCCGGAAAATCAGCCGCTTTTCCGGAATAAGCTGCGAGCTGTCTACACTGGCCCTTGAATTTCTGGAAAATGCTCCCGCTCGGGCACAGGTCCTTATTCCGGAACACTGTTCCGGAAAAGGGCCAGTGTAGACAGCCCAGTAGTCTTTTCCGGAAAAAAGCCCCGATCGCAAAAATGATGATCGGGGCTCTTTTCTGGAAAAGCGCATCTACATTGGACACAGATGCTTTTCCGGAAAAAGGGCTTTTCCGGAAAAGCATCTGTAGCCAATGTAGACGCTCTTTTCCGGAAATACTTATAATGAAAACTATTCTGTTTTAAGCATTTCCGGAAATTCATGCCGGTGTAGACACAGTCAATGGCTATGTCTACACTGGTGAGTTCTTGTGCAAGAATATCTTGCACAAGAACCCTTGTGCAAGAACATGTCCACACTGTCATGTGCGTTTGCACAAGAGCATCCATCGCAGTGTGGATGCTCTCTTGCGCAAGAAAGCTCTGATGACCGTTTTAGGCATAGGACTTTCTTGTGCAAGAATCCCCTGCCACGCGTCCACACTGCCCTCTTGCGCAAGAGGGCTTACACCTGTTAGAAAAGAGTGTAGCTCTGGAACAAGAAGTCCTCTCTTCTGATGCCATACGGTAAATCATCTTGCGCAACAGCGGGCGGACAGTGTGGACGCTTTGTGAAAGAACGGCCGTTCTTCCGCAACAACCCTCCAGTGTAGACATAGCCTTAATGTTTTTAATTTTGAAATGTTGTGTCTTTTCAAAATTTAGCTAGATTTAAAAAAAAACTGAGGGAAGAGTAAAAAAGCACCTAAAGACTACATGAAATGAAAAACTGAACAAAAAAATCTCTTAGGGGCAAATTTAATGTTTTCATTGATTTGAAATATATTTTTCCATTTTTTCCACTTTGATGAGAAACTGAAGGAAAAAAATCAGTTTTGATTTGAACTGATTTTTTTAAACTTATTTTTAACTTTTTTAACATCAGCTCCTGAAAAAAATACGATTTGCTTAGTTGTAGTCCACACACAAATATTTTAGTGTTGCAAGACAGGGTCAAGTGGGAAAGGTGACAGCAAAGGGAGTATCTCAGAATCTCAGTCTAATTGCCCATTTGGGGTACAGGTACATTAGGGAAGGTGAAAGCAAATGACCACAAGGTGGGACATAACATGAATTCAGCACCGGTTAGGGTATCAAAATTAAACTAAAGAATCTCAGCTGCTTCTGGTTCATCTATGACTCTTTTGATGTCTCAGCTACCTGCACCAGAACCTCACACCTCAAAAGTATTGTAAGAAATGCCATGAAGTGGTTTGTGTCACAAGGCAGTACTATACAGTGAGAGGCAATCCAAGGGACCATTGTATCTACATACAGTCATTTTCTTTTAATAAATATTCACCATTTCCTTGATATTTAACTGTATTAAAAGTAAACACAGTGAATGGAGAGGAGATGCCCTTTCCTTAAGCAATACAAAATTCAGCCAGAAAGAGCATTTGAGAAATGCAGCTTCATATGATTAGAATGAACAGTAAAATATTTCCAAACTCAGTTATCTAGAAAACTGCGTCCCTTGCAATTTATATGACAAAACACACCTGGGAGGTAGGACTGATTATGGGAGATATCAAAAACAGTCAAGCTGCATTGGAGGTCCAGGCTAGACTTATGTTTCTATGCTTCTTGCAATATTAAAAGTGGCTGGTCTTCAGGTGCTAATAGAGCTAAGGCCCGTCAACATAATTTGACTGTACATTATGGGGAAACCTGGAAAGAGCAAAAATGGAAACATAGGCAGGTGCCTTCCTCTGCACAGAGCCTAACACAGGTGCTTGGAGAGGTATAAAATGCCATATTTGTCTAAGTGGGTAACTCACCAGGCCAAATGATGGTGAGAGACATGTCCAGGTTTTCAACTCTTTCACTGCTGATCAAAGAAAGCAAGAGAGGAGAGGGAGGATTGCAGATTCTGGGGGTGGCATCTCATTTTCATGGTGAGAGTGGATGACATCAGGGAACAATTCACACTCCCCTGGCCACACTCTGAACCTTGGGGCTAAAAGGCCATATGCCACCAATCCCACAGAGCCGGGCTAGCCATTCCCCTATTGAAGTCAAGGGAGGATGGGTGGGCGGTCAAACACCAGTCAGGGCCAGGTGAGGGTTAAAGAATTACTTCTCTTGGTATAGATACTGCTTCTTCCTCAACAGGAGGCTGGATGCCAGCACAGACAAACACCACAGTTCTATTCAATGCTTGGTTTTGTAGCCACATGAGGTAGAATTATAGAACACTAGAACTGGAAGGGACCTTGAGGTGTCATCGAGTCCAATCCCCTGCCCTCACATGGAGACACTGCTGTACATAGTGCAGGAGTAAGTTCTGCAGCCCCATCCCTAGGGCAGCTGTCCGGGTGAGCGTTCTAGACCATCCCTGATAGATATTTATCTAACCTGCTCTTAAATGTCTCCAGAGATGGAGATTCCACAACCTCCCTAGGTAACTTATTCCAGTGTTTAACCACCCTGACAGTGAGGAAGTTTTTCCTAATTTCTAAACTAAACCTCCCTTGCTGCAGTTTAAGCCTGTTGCTTCTCATCCTATCCTCAGAGGCCAAGGAGAACAGTTTTTCTCCCTCCTCCTCGTGACACCCTTTTAGATACTTTAAAACAGCTATCATGTCTCCTCTCAATCTTCTCCTATCTAAACTAAACAAGCCCAATTCTTTCAGTCTTCCCTTATAGCTCATGTTCTCTAGACCGTTAATTATTCTTGTTGCTCCTCGCTGGATCTTCTCCAATTTCTCCACATCTTTCTTGAAATGTGGTGCCCAGAACTGGACACAATACTCCAATTGAGGCCTAATCAGCGCAGAGTAGAGTGGAAGAATGACTCCTTGTGTCTTGCTCACAACGCAACAGTAGAAGTGTTTATTTTTAAATGGCAGCTGAGATTGACCTAATCACATGACTGGGCTCCAGGCATGTGGGTCTTGTGCCTCCATCCCATTCTGGTCATGCCCAGGGTGTGTCTGAACTTTCCTGAGAAGGGCCCAAGGCCAAAGACCCCAGGAGAACAAGCACAGCCCTGTTCTGAGCACCTGCACAGTCTGCTCTGAGTATCACCTCACATAGGCAGGGCTTGGGTCGTGGGAAGGGACAGAGCCACCAGTTTTTGTCCCAGTTCAAGCCCTGGGGGGAGAACAATGAAGGGGTGACAGAGGGAGAAATACTCTTTTCTCCCACCCATCCCTTTTAATGAAAAGTGGTATGTTGTTATTCTCAATGATGTTTGAAAGAGGAGAAGGGAAAGGTATCTCCAAACTAAATTCTGCAATGTCTATCTAAGGAGTTTATATGGTCCTGATTAGCAAGGTATCTGAGCACCTCACAAAACGTCTACAAAGCCCAGAGGCCCTATCATTCCCCTTGTACAGAGGGTAAATCAAGCACTGCAAGGCTAAATGACTTGCCCAAGGTCACACAGGAGGTGTCTGTTAGAGGATAGAATTGAACCAAGCTCAAATCCTAGCCTAGTGCCCTAAGCACAGGAAAAAACTACTGATCTTTAGAGTGCCACTCTGTGCTACAGCATGCTGGTTTTTACTCTGAAACTATGGCCAGTGATGAAGCAGGCAGATTGTTCTCTGCAACCTTACCCCCACAGATTATTTATATTTGGTTCATTTTTTTTAAAATTAGGTTTTTCAAAACAAAATTAAAAATTCTGTTTCAATATGCCTCCCCCCTTAGCTTCTCTTTTCCCATTGGACATGGCAATGAAAGTTCATGTCTTTTTAAGTCACCGAGGTGCTTTTGAAGATTGTATCCATCCTGACTAGTAACTGTTTCAAGGCAGGCCGTGGAATCAAAGTGTGTTCAGCTGGGTGACAGCAAAAGATGAAGTGGGATTAATTAGAATCACCTGTGGTGAAAAACTTACTCCCAAACTTTGCAGTCCCCAAGGGATTTGCATTCTCTTACTGGTCAGGGAAGCAGAAGCCATCTTTTCACTGGCTCCCTGAACTGTCAGTCCTGAGTGTTTTACCCCTCCCCTCACAATGACATAATCAGGAGTATATAAAACCTGACCAGGTGATAGCCCACATAAGGTAGTTTTTGGAGTACTGAGACTGGTCAGGGGACTGGTTTGGTTGTAGTAGTAATTGTTGGTAATAAGGTCTTTTAATCATCCTTTCTTTGTTAGCATGCTTCTTTGATTAGGGCTTTTGGGTTATGTTGTTAAGAAATGTTTGGCTGTGCTGTATTCATATTGTTGAACAGATGTGTGTAGTGTATGTACTGGGGAGCTTCATGATGATTAACCTTAAGCTCCTTGTCTGAGAGACAGGATCATGTTATTAAGTTATTTTTTTGTACTGTAGGGCTGCTAAATGACCTTCAGCAGTAACTGTATATTTACTGACTCTAATGGACTTACAAAAGTAGAATTCTTTCAATGACTCTGTGGCATGAGAGGAATCTGGAAGATTCTCTATTCCTTACCTGAAACTTCTGCTTTTCTTTTTTTAAAGTATTGCTCTCTAGTGATTAGGGTATATATTGCTCTAAATGTGAGCTCCTTGTCAATCTGAGGACTACCATTGCTTTTTATCCTTTAGAATAGGACACTGCTCTGGGGTTGGCCTTTGTTTTTGTTTCCCCTCTGGGGTAGCTGTAACTTCCCCCTAAAAGTTATGACTTGTAACTCCAGGCCTCTTCTTGCCTCTCCTCAGACATATCTGACCATACCATGACGACAAATGGAAAAGACACAAATGTGGCATCCCCAGAGCATCAGGAGGAGGAGCAACAGGTAGGCACTTCCTCATGAGCATCACTGGCTCAATTTGTGACTACAAAAGAGAGCTGGCTATCTTGCATGAGCTGGCTCCACTTCTTGGTTCCATAAAATCTTAACACTAATTTGCTTCCATTAAACTTCTGATCTGGCTTTATCATTAATGTCAGAAGCAGATATTAGGCTTCCTAGCTCTTCAGTCTTTCACTCCATCACACAGTACTTTGATTGGCGCTAGCACATTCAAGGGTATAACCATTTGACAAGTAATGGGTTAGTTCCAGGATAGGGTATTGCTTTCTCAACTTCCTTGTTCTTGCCTCTGCCTCACTAGAGCGTCCTGAAGAGGGTGGCCAGTCTCCCACTTGTCAGCACTGCCTGTGACCTGGCTGCCACAGCCTACACCTCCACCAAGGAGAGCCATCCCTATGTGAAATCTCTCTGTGACATGGCAGAAAAGGGAGTGACCTCCCTAACCAGTGTTGCAGCCAGCAGTGAACAGCCAGTTTCACCTGCACTTGAACCTCAAGGTGAGTCATGTGTCTGAGCAGCGCTTTCTACACATGTGTGACCCCATATGCTGCCAGTAGGGTCTTTAAATCAGTAGGTCTGCAATGCTAGAGTCTGGTCACAGTGGGGGCTCCTTATCAGTGGTCTTGGGGGGGGGGGGGGGGAAGACTTACACTGGATCACAGGCATCATTTTTTCCTAATGACCCAGTTGATCTGGGGTGGGGCTGAGGATGAGAACCTTGGGGTGTAGAAGGGGCTCCAGCTTTGGGGATGTCAGGAGGGGCTTACCTTGAGCAGCTCCTGGTCAATGGTTCAGTGGGGATGCTGAGACGGGCTACCTGGTGATCCTGGTACCACAGATTATGCTATGCCCCAGAGGTAGCCAGCAGTAGGTTCCCAGACAGTGGGAGTGTGGAGCTAGTGCTCATGGCAGGGGCAGTGCATGTTCTTCCTGCCCTTCCATCCTCCCACCCCCACTGCCTAGGAGCTGGGCCTGTTGCCAGCCGCTTCTGGGCTGTAGTACAGTGTGTGGTGCCAGGACGGACGGACAGGCAGCCTGCCTTAGCATCCCCACTGGTCCCCTGATCTCCCTGCCTTCCCCCCAACAATGAGACCCTATGCCTGACCTGCCATGCCCCAGTATTAACCCATAGTTTGAAAACCACTGGTTTATATTCTGGGCTGCTGTATCACTTCTACAAACACCCTGCCACAGGATAATGAAGGGGCTTGTTTACAACACTTACAACCTGTGCTCACTCTCCCTCCTGGCTGCAGTGAAAGCTCTGTTCTTGGCTACTTTCATTTAAAGAGCAACACCCTTTGAAAGGGATCGCAAACTAGTCTTTCATCAAATGGGTTCAATACTTTCCCTATCTTGTACCTCTGTCTCTGGACCAATATAGCTGCTATAACAGCACTGCAAATTGAGTGTTAAAAATAATTAATGAACCTCTTTGTTGACCTGCTGCCTGCATGAGAACAGTTCATTGAATTTACTGCAGTCGAGGCACTGTAAAAGCCCTCTGCTTAGTGCTCAGGCTTTTGGTGCCTTCTAAAGAGGGGAGGGGGAAATATCTTGATTAGGTAATTGAACCACTAGAGTGGCATGATAAAAATCTCACTTTTCTATAAAATCCATCTGTGAAGCTGACAGCAATTCCCTCCCTCTTCAAGCTATGTATAAGTAAGTCCCCTTGAACAAATACTCATGCAAATATCAGTATGCAGCACCTGCAACCAAACCATTGCTGTGTGAACACATTGGAGAGCTGAAGAGGGTCTCATTGTATATCTGAACCAGAGGCTGTACATTCTGCACTAGCAAAACTAAGGCAACTAACTTGGGCTTCTCTACAGAGACCACAGGAACAGAGCTGGCTTCCAAAGTACCAGACAAAGTGGAGGAGGATCTACCAACCCTTCAACAGACAGCTGAGACGGTAACACCCCACAGTGATGTGACCAGGGTTTTAGGATGCAGCCCAGTATTGCTTTTCTCCAGCAGAGAAATAGTCTAGGGGATAAGTGGCCATAAGGTGGGAGCTGGTGTGCAAGCAGCCCTCTGGGTTACTGCTTGACAGAGTGGACACAATGTTTCTCTTGACAGCAACAGTTCTGTATTTAAGCCACCCCCTGAAGGTATTTTAACAATTAGAACAGCAAATGGTCCTTATGTTATGTCCACACCCCCAAACCCTAGTACTATCAGGTTCCACTGCTGTAAAATCCCTGCTCACTAGTCACCCACCTCCTTGGGTGGTAGTGGGAATTCAGTGGTGGCTGGTATGTGAGCCTGGTTGCTGGTCTGCCACAGGCTCACCCTGCCAGGGAAGCAACCTGACCTCATCAGCATGGCCTCATTTCAAGCCAGCAGGACCCAGCCTCCATTCAATTTCCAGTGAGCACAGGCTGTGCACTGTAAGCTGCAGCAGAGGTGATGGATCACTTACTGGCCTTTCTTGCTGTCCTCTCCTTGGCTTTCCCTTCAGCCCCACTGCTCCTCAATACCCCATCCATGGGGTGCCTGACTCCTACCTCTGAGCAGAGAACCAGCCCTTGGTCAGAGCACTCAGCACATCAACAGCTTGGCAGGCAGGTTTCTTCCCCTCCCCTCCACTGTTTGGGCCAGCACCCTGGGCAACTCCAAGACCCTCCAGCCCAGAGCACTGTCCAGGAGGAGTCAAGCCCCATGGGCTCCAAAGCCTCTTGGTGGTGGTTTGGGAAAGCCACTCTGGCTGCTAAGCTGTAGTGGCAGGGAGGAAGCAATTTACAGTTCATTCCCCAGTCCTATAGTCGCCAATGCAGCCCTCTGGGCCTGAAAACTGCATCTTCACCTGCTTCCCCTCTCTGGACATCCTCCTCAGCCATCTAACAGTTGTCAACTATAGGCAGGCTTGCTGAAGCCCTGCAGTTAGGTTCCCTGCACAATACACCCTTATCTCTAAATGCTTCCTGGCTAAGGTATAGCTGGGGGACCAGAGGCAGGTGGGTGATGTTGGTGGCCAGCAGCCTGGAGGTGTTAGCTGCTCTTTTCCCCTCCCTTCAGGCTGGGAGGGACAAGAGGTTTCCTGCCACAAAGGGCAGGGAGGAGCTCTGTGAGGGCATAGGCCAGGTCATCCCTTCTCCCTACCACCTCTCTGCCTGCAGCTGCAAGAAGAACCTATCCCTTCCTTCCCTCATAGTGCCAGAAGTTTGTTGTTTTGTGGTGTGAACCTTGATGAATCTTGAGAGGGCAGCATGTGACCATAGAGGTGCAGGGAGAGGAGACCATACCTGTACTGCCGTGAAGGCAGGGCAGGGGGTGCTAAGATGGGTTCATCTGGAGAAGGGACAGCCAGGCATGGAGGATGGAGAGGCCTGGGCAAGAAAGGGCAGGTCAGTTGGTCACCACCCATCTTTGCCCCAGGGGGAGAGGCCATGCTTTTACTGTTCATGTGAACCTTAAATTCTTGAGGCTAAAGTGTCTTAACAATGACTAGCTACAGTGTAAGTGTCCAGTACAAATTTCTACACTGCATAGTTCTGATTGGCATAGAACCCAAATGAATCATGTGTCCCATACTCAGCATAGGGAAATAGAATTACCCTAGCAAGGCCGTGGCACTTCCACTGAAGAGCTGAGCTGTGGAGTTGAGCCAATGATAATCCTCTACTGTAACATCAATCCCTGGGATCAATGTGGTTTTATTGCCTCAAATTCCTAGTCAGTAATGTCTTGCTGGGACCTTCTCTCTAGGCCATGTCTGACACACAGGAGCTGGTATCATCCAGACTGACAGATGTCAAGGAGAGCATGATCAGAGTGGTGGACATGACCAAGGAGGCCATGCAGGATGGTATGAAGACCACCAGATCAGTAGTAGCAGAGGGCATGAGCACCATTGTGGAATCGCGAATGGGCCAACTGGCTATAAGTGGGATGGAAGCCATGCTGGAGAAGTCTGAAGAGCTCCTGGATCACTATCTTCCCATGACTGAGGAGGAACTAGGTCAGAACACAGGAATGATGGGGCAATTGTCTTTGAAAGGCCAGAGTAATCCTCCTTCTGGTCCAAACTTCTCTCTAGACTGCTCAGTCTTGTATCTGTCAACCAATGCAGGCTGACTCTACATTTTCCTATCTTAAACCTCATGCCTCAGCTTTGAGTTGATGGGCATGTGCCCAGTTAAAATGACTTGAGTAACAAGGTGGTGCAGGAAGGACCTATGGATATGAAACAACCTTTCCTTTCTTCCCTCCAGCCAAACTTGCGGAATCTGTGGAAGGGGCTGAAGTGTCTGCGGCACAACCACAAGAGCATCGCAGCTACTTTGTGCTTTTAGGTTCCCTGTCCACCAAACTCCGCCAGCGCGCCTACCGCTATTCCCTAGACAAGATGAGACGCACCAGCCACAGCATCAGTGAGGCACTTTCCCAGCTTCAACAAACCATGGGACTGGTAAGACTAGACTTATTGAAGCTGAAGCCTTCTGGTAAATAGAGTAGTTGTTGGCTAGGACTCACTTTCCCTTTGCATATGCTCCCCCTCAGAGCAGGGAACTCTTCTACCTCCTGTACGGACCAGGTTATAATGAGACTTAGCACACAGCCTTGACTGACATCTCTGTAGCTAGATGTCCTTCTGATGCATTGAGCATAGCCATCTGGGGGCTGAATGCATGCCCTAAGCTGTAGAACTAGAATAACTGATGTACAAATGGCAAATACACTCTTTTGAATACCCATCCAGATTGATTACATCAAGCAAGGTGTGACACTTCCAGATGTCCAGGAGAAATTCCAGCATGTGTGGCTGAACTGGAACAGAAAACAGCGAAAAGGCAGTGAGATCACAGACTTGGCTAACCCAGAGGTAGGTACATACTTCTCCATCTCCTCAGGAGAGGCTGCCAATATCCTGGTCTTTGCAGGGTTGTTGTAGTGTTTACTCAAATTTATCTTGGGAATCTTTTATAAAGATGCACAGTTGCATTTCCCTTGAGCATAATGGAAGTATATCTTCCTTGCTTGATATGTTTGTCACATGCTGACTCTGTGCCCAAGAAGTCACTCTGCTTCCTCTTGGGGTGATGCATACTATTACTAGATTTAATCTCCAAAGTGTCTGCAAACTAACACTGTAGATCATGCACCTGCAACCACACGAAGCCCCTGCTCACTTCTCTGGGAGCTCTGTTCTGTCCCAGCTACATGGCTTATTGCCTCTGTAGCAGCTTGTGACAAAGGAGCCTAACTGCTTCTTGCCTGCCTTCTGAAACTCACTGTATGATCTTTCTCTCAAAGACACCCTTGGTGGCTGCTATTAGTACATTTCTTGTAACACAACTTCTGGCATAGCAAAATTGCTGATGCAGGTAGCAGCAAGTCTGAAATCTTACCATGGAGAACATTAACAAAGCTTCTGTCTCCCCACCAGATGGAGTCTGAGACTCTGGCCATGTCCCGCAGCATTCTCCAGCAGCTGCAAGATGCCTGCCGGGTGTTAGTATCCAGCATTCAAGGTCTCCCCGCCAACCTTCAGGACAAGGTGCGACAGGTGTATCAAAACATGGGGGAGCTCCATGCTTCCTTCTCCACTGCCAGCTCCTTCCAGGATCTCTCCAGCAGCCTCCTCACCCAGAGCCAGGAGATGGTGACCAAGGCCCAGGAATATGTAGATGAGCTGATGGCATATGTGATGCAGAACACACCTCTGTCTTGGATTGTGGGGCCCTTTGCCCCATCAGGGAAGGGCTCTGCAGATTCCCTGGAACCACAAAACCAAGAAATGGAGGCTAAGGAGGCAGTCATAGCAGCATCCAAGGCTAAGGAGGCTCTTATCTGAAACATGAAGTTTCAACTTGGAAGAATGAAGGCAGATTTCCTTGTGCATGTGGAGTCAACATGAGTCTGACTGCAAGTTTGTGGACACTAGCATGTTTCTGCAGGACAAAGGGCTAGTATTCAGATCTGTGCTTAGTACTCTGAACTTGTGGATATAAAGAGTATCACATTGCTTGCTTGTCTGACATGTTTAAATCTGAGGAAAGGATTGTTGTGACACCTTGGTAGGTTGTAGGTGGTTCATTCACCTGAACAGGTGCTGCAGCGGTGACTGCTAGAATGTAAACAGTTGGTCATACTATGTTGTACTAATACCACCCTGCCTTCAAAATAAAATGTTACTGCATTTGAGTACAGTGTCCTTTCTAGCAAGAGTATTCCAGTTCTACAGTAGGTGACAAGTATGCTGAACCCAGTCCTGCTATAGTGATCATTTCTCTAATGACCACTGCTGTTAAGGGCTTACCATACAAAGTGTCCAGGCATCCCTCTTGCATCCAAATCTAGAGCCTGAGTTTCTAAATAGTTTTAGATCAACTACTCACCTGTGAACATTTATGCTCCAA